CTAGCCAACGGTAAAGGCTCTGCCAGCAGCATGAAGGTTCCCCAGGCTATATTGGACCGGCAAGAGAGTGTACATGGCCAATACGGCCTGGTCCAAGAACTTACCGTCCTTGTCGAGGAACTAAAACGACTCCAGGTCCAGGCTAAAGCACTGCACATCATGGAAGGCCCGTCCGCAGAGTTATGGAAAGAGGCCCAGGGTATAATAAACCTTGCAACTCTTGAGGAAGACGATGACCAACCACGTTCAAATGGCTGCAGCAGGCATCAGCGCCAAAGATCCTCCTCAGCCACAACGTTCGACTCGGGCAATTTTGGCCTGGAATCTTCCCCCGAGCCCATGCCCATGGCCACCAAGCAGAACAGCAATGAAAGCCCAAGCAAGCAGTCCTCTCCTCTTCCCGGGAAAGAAAACTCAGATCCAAGCACCAATATCAACGCTACTTTCCCTTCTTCCAAGAAGCTGCGCAGAGAGTCATCCGCCAGGGCAAGATCGGTCCTGGATAACATCCACCATCTCCGAGAGCTTCACAACGGCAACTCAACCGCGTCTCTACCAACCCATGATAGCCAGCAACGCTTCGCCTTTGATACCCAGTCTTTGCGTGACCTCGTCATCCGTGCGGGCGTCATCACACGCTCCCTAAAGGAGATCGTCCGCAAAGCAGAAGGAGTCTACGTCCCGCCTGATACACACCATCTAACTCCCGATCCGCCCTTCAGCCAAATATTCGTTCATCCTTCCTCGCAGCCTATACCTGCGAACGGGCTCTCCTGAACAACACCGCGCATAAAAACATCTTTTATCAAATCCAAAAGGAGCATGATAGAAAATAAAATACTTCCCTGGGCTAGAATTGCTATCCTCAATTCCTTTTTCCCTCTCTCCCTCTCTCATCCACCACCGCCTTGTCTCTTTCTTTCTCGCTCCATTCCGCCTGAAGAGGTACTCTAATGACCCGTTATGGCTCATGTGTCATGTGCACGCTAAAAGAAAGATAATAACACCCCCGGCTTCACGGCCGTTTTCCTTCGCATCGACTAATTCTTTCTCTCCATGCCTCTCCTTTTATTCTACTGTTCTTACTTTCCTTTTTTTACCCAAAAGCTGCCATTCCTTTACTGTACAATCCAAAAAATCTTTTTCCTTTTTCTTCCTTTTCCTCGTCTCATCTGCATATTCATATCTTTTCCCTTTTTTTTTCCTTTTCTTCTTAATTTCTTTTCTTGCTCTGTTTTTAGCCGGTAATGACTGAGTCGTGGGTTTCTCCTTTTTTCTTCTGCTTTCCCCTTTTCATGTAGGAAGAAATGTCCTGCTCCCCCCTTTTTTTTCTACCTCTGTTGTTTCTTTGATCATTCGGGAAGGCTTATGTGATAACGTTTGCTTGCTTGCGTTTTTGCTGGCTTGGATGGACCCTATAGACGCTTCATCACCGTTTGGTATGAATTTCGCTGAATAGCTGTACACGAACAAACCAGAGAATTATAAATGGAATGAGTGAATATGCCCTTGAACGATTTCTGTCTTATCCAAACAATCAAGTAAGGAGTAGATGTAAGTGGATAATCTAGGTGTATAAATACAGAGGGTTTTCGCTGGGAATAAGTCTATCAAATGCAAGGTGTAAAGAGAGAGGTGTGTATACAGAGATGAGAATACTAAAATCAAATAGGGAGAGTTATATGGTATCATGGAATCAGTTCTTGGATTTCCGTTTACCGATATTCCAACCCCAGCGCCGCAGAGACTTGACGATCTTGGGCGTCACAGCCGCCGTAAGCGGTACTCTGAAGAAGATGAAGCTCTTGTGTATGGCGTATGCGAGCGCCAGTTGTGTCCATATACCTATACAAGCAGATTAGTAGCCGATCATCATAGTTGCCCAACAAAACCAACAACCAGGTAGAGTAACGTACTGGCTTCTCCTTTAACGGTCTTCTGCACCTCTTCGATATTATCCGCAATGCCTATCTCATTCTCGTCTTCGGATCGAAGACGCGCATCCCTCTCTTTGCTAGGCCATATCTTCGCTATGGCATCCTTCACGGAGCCCACAATAATATGCTCATAGTGTCCTATGCGGTCAACGCCTAGCAGCCGCACAGCAGCAAAGCAGAACGGAAAATCCAACGCTGATAGGAAGAAGTAGACTCCTACAGCTGCCCAGCCGTATTCGCGGGAAAGCGTGCGCATGCGCTGGGAAAACGAGGGTTTTGCAGACGGGTCGGTGTTTGTAGAGTTCGCTCGAGTGAATGGTCGGCGCGTATATGGTCTTCTTGAGAACTGGGAGCGGATACATCTAAGGGGGGATATTGTTGATATTGTTGACTGCTGGTGTCGCGGTAGCATGTGCGAGTTTTGGCGGAAGCCTATCCATGCCGGCGACGGTCGGGATAGTTGTGGTGATCTGAAGGCCATCAGAAGTAGCTGTCTAGCCGGCCCTCCGGCCAACCCGCGCGACGATATCATCTTTTGTAATTAGCTCTGGGCTTGCTGTGTCCAAGGCATCTGTTCCTGTCTGTTGCTCGAGATATCAAAAAAGTCAAGATGAGGTTTGTCTTGGCGTTAAGCTCGGGAGGAAAAAGCTTGGCGCGAAGCCTAACTAAAGGTCGAATTTCGTTTTTTAATCGTTGATAGAAACTAATTTTTTGGATAGCGACAAAAAAGCGCCAGCACCGTCGAGTTGATCGAGGAGACTTGAGAAGGATATCGAAGAAAAGATGCCGCCGCGGCTACCTCGAAGCTCTCTGCAGCAATTGTTTGCGCCCGTCACATCCTCACAGCTGTGCAGTGGTCCGTCTAGAATCACCGTGGCCATACGGTCCTTTGGCATCAAACCCATGTACCCCCCCAAAGTCAGCCTTAAACCTCTCGATCCAGAAGTGCCGATTCTCTCATCACATCCTATTGCAGCTCATCTGCGAAAAGCTGCCACCCTGCCTCTTCGAACAGGAGCCCTTGCCATCAAGAAAGGAATGACGGCCATCTACGACCCCGAGACAGGCGTGCGGACTCCCTGTACTGTTCTCCAATTAGACGGCGCCCAGGTCATTTCACACAAGACGTTTGAGAAGAACGGATACTGTGCTGTCCAGGTCGGGTCTGGGCTTAAGAATGAGAGAAATGTGACGAGACCGATGCTGGGTCATTTCAGTGCAAACGGTGTCTCGCCAAAACGACATATACATGAATTCAGAGTCAAGGATGAAACTGGACTATTACCAATTGGAGAAGTTATTAATGCCGATTGGTTCCAAGAGGGTCAATATGTTGATGTTCGGTCAAACAGCCGTGGAATGGGATTTGCCGGTGCTATGAAGAAATGGGGTTTCCACGGTCAGGATAGAAGTCACGGTGTCAGTTTGACGCATCGTTCTCTTGGTTCTACAGCTCCTTCTCAGGGCGGTGGTTCCAGAGTATACCCTGGGAAGAAGATGCCTGGACGGATGGGAAACCATCAGGTAACGCTGCAAAGCTTGAAGGTTTTGAAGGTTGACGCTGAGAAGGGCATTGTTGTTGTTAAGGGTGAGTTTAGCCTGTTCACTTTTTATATCATTTTTGCTGGGTAATTTGTGCGCTAACAATGTGACACAACAGGGGGAGTTGCTGGTCCCAAGGGACGCTGCGTCAAGATCCAAGACGCAATCAAGAAGCCATGGCCGAAAATCGAGGCTGCACAGCCTGCAGCAGCTAAGGAATGAGCGTTATATTGTTTCATGAATTTCTTCTTTATCTACTGTACAATAGCCCTTCAGAGTGGCGTTTAACTGTATTTTTTTTTTTTTTAGCCCACTTCCAAATTTCTGGGGATTTGCATGAATGTAATTTGGATTGTCGGGGCGTTTAGATTGCCTCTTTCCTTCCTTTCTTCTCCAAGTAATAACATCCTGCATTTTAAAGTGAACAATTATAATGGAGCAGCCTCCACTATCCCATCTTTCCAAACGCCATGCCAAGTTATAAAGTTATACAACCCATAAGGTAAAAAAAGGGGTGGGGTGAAATATGTCCTCGGTCCCGGATTACTGCAATCGATCTTTATATTGCGCCCTTGAATGGGTCTTCTTCGGTTTGGTTGAGTAGCGGCACAGCGGTGCCATCTTCCATCTCAAGGCTCCATATTTCAGTATTGAACTGTATAGGTATCATGTTAGTATGGTCATGTTCACAGTCAACGTATACAACTGTTAAAATACAGATGACGGATAGCCCATACATAGCCTGATCTGCTCTCTCTCGTGCTCTTGAATCGCATCTTTCCCTTGCCGCGAGTTCCCTTGACCCAAAACGAGATGTCAATACGGCCATGAAGCTGGTTCATCTCTCCGCTTATCCACGGTATTCGCTGTGCAAAATATATCTCATCTCCAAGGAGCTCCCGGGCCTTGGGAGAGTGTCGCAGAGCGTACAATGTACTGCTAACGATACTGGAAGAAGACTTCTGGTAATTGAATATCGCGAGACTTGACACGCCAATTATCGCAAGAAATATCGGTATAGTGCGCAGCCACCGTCTGTGTGAGCCAAGTGAGGGTAGTTCTCGGTCAGCTCGTCGTGAGAGCAAGGGACCGCTGTTAGGCTGAGGGGGTGCAACGAGGGTACGGCGGGCGGGTGTCGACGAGCGCAGAGAAATACTGGGCTTCAACATGGGCCGATAGCACCGCAGGCCCCGTATGGGATTCATGGCTGTCGCTCACCGTCAGCTGGTGACTTGCTTGACTCAATCTTTGTTTATCGTTGCGACCTTTCAACTTTCTTCATTCTGGATATAAAAGGTGAAAACTGATTATATCACAATCACGTGGTTTATATCAGGAAATACGTTGGTCAGCATTTTAAGTAACGTGATTAAGACTCCGGGGTCGGAGTTAGGTCGGCGATAACCTTGCTAGCCTGGTCACATGAAGTCAACTTGCGGATCCCCAAGTTGGGTATTTGGACATACGGACATATTGATAGAGAGGAACTTCCAGTTGACGAAGAGGAGTAGGTCATGGATCATGGCCTCTACACGGCTGCGGAAGTCATTCAAGTATCCAGACTCAGACGCTGATGATGATGCACGTCCAGAACTAGATGACCAAGGTTCGTGGCATGTAGCTTTAACTTGCAGCCCAACTATAGCCAGTTACTTACATATGCATAGAACAAGAGGCTTTGATTGAATCCTTGCGTAAGGATAATGAGACGGCAAATGCTTTCTATCAGGTGCTTTAGAGGTATCCAAATCTATTCCTACCGATAGAAGTGCTAACAAGGTACTATAGCTTGTACTGTCTGTGATACCCTGCATAACCAGCTGTATCTTCATACCCACAATAATATCGTTCGATTCTGTCTTCTATGACAGGGCTTCGGCATTTCTTGGTGCTGCCTCCCTTCTGTGGACAGCCTATTATATGAAATATACCCCGCTGCCGCAAAGTGAATCCAGGGGAAGGCACTCTATCAGCCTGTCAGAGGAGAAGGAAGACCCTATCAGCCGATACACGGTAATAGTGAATGCTGTCATTTCTCTCTTCATGGCACTCTCCGGATTTCTACGCTTTCAGAAGGATCCAGACAATGCATACCATATTCTCTATGTCCTACCAGCAGGTAATACCTTCTACTGACTACTTATGTTTTTTGTCGCGCTAACCCCCATACAATAGTCGTACTCTTCACTATCATGGCGGCTCGGAGAACTATGGTTTCAGTCGATCTAGACGAATTAGAGCGCCTTCGTTACGAATATAAAGGAGCGTAATAATCTTTTAAAATAAAAATACATCTTGCATATGGTCTAACGTACATTTGAATAATGGAAGGTTATAGTCGAGCCATAGGTAGTTTGTTCCAATATCAGGTTCAAATCTACATGAGCAGGAACGATCCGCAATGGAATAAAGCCGACTTGAATGATTAAGGCTCCTGTTATCAACCATCTGCAATCTGCATTTCGCTTGATTGTAAGATATCTAATACACGTTAACATAGAAGTGACAATTAGGCCCATCCATCGTTATCATCATCTTCTACCCAACCCATTGCCTGTAATTTGGCAGTTTTGTTTTGCGCAGCCTGTTTAGCAGTGCCATTCACCTCCGACCTTGGCTCCAGCGGGGACTTGTTTTGCAATTGTGCGGTAGGAACTGATTCATCTGTCTCTTTAGTTTCACCTACTTCGCTAGCTTTCTTGGCGAATATCACAGATTTGGACTTTGAAGCTTTGGTTGCCACCGACTTTTTAACAGTCTTCTTAGCAGGCCTCGAAGTTCGAGGGCGTAACATAGCCTGCGAAGTTTGTTCTTCCGCCCCATCTTCGCCTTCACTTTGGTCACTGCCAGATCCCCCAAGATCATCCGACTGCATGGAGTTCAGCTGACTTCGTCTTGTTGCAACCTTCCTAGCTCCAGACGTGTTAATACGGGAGATTGATCGTCGAGAAAGAGTAAAATCATCGTCGATTTCAATTCCCCGTTTTCGCCTATTGCCAACACCATCGTCCAGCCTTGGGTCTACAGGTAGATCTTCAGGTTCATCTTCATCCGGTTCGCCCCCATTAACTTCCTCTAGAGCCTGTTCGTTAGTCTGGAAGAGGTTTGGGTCCACGACAATTTCCTCAGCTTTATTCTGTTCTGCTGGCTGTTCTGGCTCTGGGTATTCAAATGTGATACCTTCCGTGGGCTGGTAACGGTCAGCCATGTCGTCTCGGAAAATAGCGTTTTGCGGGACAACAAAACTCGTTTGATGACCCCTGTCCATAAGGGCGGGGTCTATAAGACTCTCGTCAAAGGTAGGGTTATCATTTTGGCCCCCCCCCTTTCTTATTTCACTGTCGTCAGAGTCGTGATCATATAAAACAGGCACAACCAATTTAGCCTTCTCTGCTTCTTCTATTCTCAACTGCATTCTTCGGCTATCCTGTGATGTTTCAGGATGCTCGCCTGATTTCTTAAGCCAAAATAGGTTTGAATGACTAAAATCCACCAGAGACTCTACACTTCTGACATCAGCAATCTTTTTGGTATCATGGCCGATTCGGGTCTCGGTTGGTACATATCCTTGAATTGTTGGGTCGCGGCGCTTGCAATTCGCACATGGGCATATCCTTTCACATCTTGGGCATTTCCAACTCCGTACCTCCAGCACTGCCATTGGCATGATATCAAATGCTCTGTATAAACTGCCGTAACACCATTGCAGGTTGCATTGAGAACATGTCTCGAGCTTCCAATTTAATGTCGGTCCACAGATGTGACATCGACTATATTTATGTTTGTCAGCTTTGGTTATTTTTCGGCGTTTTCGAGTAGATTCCCTGTGGTTCTCATCGTCATCGTCAACATCATCTTTGACCGGCTTTGTGACGTCGGTCCACGGCCGGCGTTTCAATTCCACCTGGCATATTTCTGCCAGCGTCTTCTTTTCATATTTCTCTTGCTCAACTGAAAGGGGTTGAAAATTATCCTTATCCTTTCGACTTCTTCCTGAAGAGATCTTGGTAATCTGGTTTCGCCAGCGTTCATGATCCCGGGCGAGGTCTTTCCAACGAAATTGCTCCACCCACCTCAGCTTAGATATGCAGGCACAACTTCGACCCATCACAAAGCAGTCCATACAAACGTCATAGGTGTCATCTTCCCCGTCTGGAAACTTACCAATGCACGAGGGGCAGGTAAGAAACCTGTTGAAGATATTGCATCGACAATATGAACAAGTGATATTGCTTGAGAACGGAACTAATTCAACGTTTTTGGGCTCCGGTATTCGAGTAGAAAAACTCTCAGATAGAAGAATCTGAGTGAATAACGCAAACAGGCGTTTGAAATCGGACTTTAGGCTGCGATATCTTAATTCATCACGTGTAGTTGCTTTTTCAAGGAGAGTCGAATATTTCTTAAGGGAGAAGTAAATGATGGCTTTGTTCTTGTATTGTTCGTCTCTGCAGACCATTCTAGCCCGGGGTAGCGCTTCAGTCAAAGCAAGATCAAGCGTTTCAGCAGTCGTCCTGTTCCATGCAACTTTCATCGTGCGAGTGCCTCTATTCCACACCTGATGAGGAGCAAGAGGAGGGATTAGAATAAAATCACCAACTTTCTGTTCCACGACCCAGGTTTTAAATGGCGCAGACTTCCAGGCATTTATTTGCGCAAAGTGGTCCTCAATTTCGATATCGTGTCCTAATGTCGATAGCCAATACTCTGAGACAACCTTAAGATCTTTCTTTTCAGTCATGAACCAGATTGAAGATCCAGGTTTTGTCGGTTTTCCGTCTTCCAATCCCCCGGTCGAAGCTTCGACCATGATATTATGCCCAAGAGTAGCACACATCTCTCTGTGAGCTGGAGTGTAGGTGCCCTCATGGCCGATATAGCACATCATGTTCATTGCCCTCATTTCTTCGGGAAGGCTGCTCATCAGGTCACCAGCAGGGGCCGCATCTCCCTCTTTATCTGCCACAGACTCATTCATATAATAAAGAAATGGTGGAAGAAGCGATCGTAATTTCTCATGCCAGACTGGAGGGCAATCAATATCCTTCAGATACATGCGCTGACGACTAGGGTCCTTGTAGTTTGTGGCGTTGAACTGGTCAGTGAGACCAGCCATACTAGAAAGGTAGTGCTGAATAGTTAGCGGTACATTTGACTTGTTCGTGAGGTCCCTTGCGATTTCGACTAATGAGTTATTAGATTTGCGCATTAACCGTCATTATTATTGGGGAGTAACATGCCTTTGCTTCCATGGTTGTCTTTGAGCCAGCGTGGGGAAAATATCCATTTCTCCAGCTTACTTCCATAGCCCTCTACAACTAGAGGCTTTCCTGAGTAGATGACATGCAGTTTCACTAGCTTCTCGAAATTATCGATCCCTTGTTCCTCAATCGCGTGGGCAGGAATTCGCGTTACTGGCATGAAATTAGGCGTCGACTCGACCAATTCTGTAAAATCGAGATCCGGTGAGATAGGCTCAAAGGCCGCGCGTGGTAGCTGTAGCCCAGGCATGGCTCTGGGCCGAAGAGGTCGCGTCGCAACAGCTGTTCACCCAGTCGTGTTGGTCGTTTTCATCAAACAACTTGAAGATTGAAAGCTCATTTGGATAACAAAAGTGTTAGAAATCAAGCCGATCACGTGACAAATAGCTTAGTTAGCTCCTGCTTTTATCCTGGTTCGTCGGCGCGAAAATAGTTACTGTGAAGAGCTCAAGACAGCTCCAGGTTCGCAACGAGAGAGGCTGGGGTCTACAATTGGGCGCGGGAAAGTCGGGCATTTGGACGGATTCGGTGCTACTTCTTTTATCGATATGTTATCTAATTACTGCGGCTATCTTAGAGCCGGGCTGACCGTCTCCAGCCATATCCTTACCAGCTGCCGGACGCCGCACAATAGGAGAATACCGAGCATATTGAAGTTTCGACGTTTAAGCCGGATACCGCAGATTCACGAACTCTTTTTGCGATATAATTCCTCTGCACCCAGTATAGCTACCAGTCAAAAGCCAGAGCAATATTCACAACCGACAACGGGAATTCTCGCTGCTCTTCCAAAGAAATGGGTACCATATGCGGAATTGATACGACTAGACAAACCCACGGGCACCTACTATCTATACTTTCCTTGCCTCTTTTCGACCCTCCTTGCAGCGCCTTTGGCCATGCCAACGGCTACTCCTCTCGAAGTTGCTTGGTTTTCTGGTCTATTCTTCGCCGGATCACTGGTCATGCGAGGCGCAGGGTGTACAATAAATGACTTGTGGGATCGGAACCTGGATCCTCATGTAGAACGGACAAAGTTTCGGCCAATTGCGCGGAGAGCAATTACTCCAAAACATGCAATCATATTTACTGGCGCTCAGCTCCTTTCCGGACTTGCGATTCTCCTTCAATTCCCTTTTGAATGCTTCTGGTATGCAACTCCAAGCCTTCTGTTCGTTGCAGCATATCCACTAGCAAAGCGGGTTACAAATTACCCTCAAGCAATGTTAGGGTTAACCTTTTCTTGGGGCGCGGTAATGGGATTCCCCGCGCTGGGGGTTGAAGTTTTGAGCGATCCTAGCATCCTCGCTGCATGTGCCTCTCTATATGCGAGCAATGTGGCCTGGACTATACTTTATGATACTATATATGCTCATATGGATGTCAAGGACGATGCTAAAGCAGGGATAAAATCAATTGCTTTGGCTCATATTGATAACAGCAAATATGTGATGTCGGGGCTTGCAGCAGTTCAGGTCGGCCTGCTTGCTGCAGCTGGTGTAGCGGCCGGTGCTGGACCTGCCTTCTTTGTGGGTAGCTGTGGTGGTGCCATGTTATCATTGGGAACTATGATCTGGCGAGTGAAGCTTACTGATCCTAAAGACTGTTGGTGGTGGTTTAAATACGGCTGCTGGTTTACGGGAAGCACTATATCCCTCGGTCTTCTTGGGGATTATGCCATAAGAAGATCTAATTGATCAGAGTGAAGACCTTATGCAAGAATGTGTGACACTATAATGGTGTGCAGTGGAGTGTGGATTAGTAGATTCTATAATATGATACTTGTGCCAATATAGAGCGCTAGGCGTCACAATACTCTTCGATAATTCTTACTATCTTTCTCCAGTCTTCCATAGCACCATCCCCTACGTCACCGCAAGCAAGGGTCTTCTCCATTGGCTTGATAACCGTCACCCAGCCGCCTTCAGTTTCAGACTGGAAGCCCCAGCTCGTCTCAAGGGTTTCGACTTGCCTGCGCGTCAGCGGGTTTCTCCACATTGCGGTGTTCATAGCAGGTGCTACAAAAATACGTGGTTTGGGCTTCTTTCCGAGATCGATCGTGCCGGAAGTGTCCCACGCCCGTACAACGGAGAGTAGTAAGTTATCTGCCATCCCGATTGCCATTTTCGCCAGAGTATTTGCGGATAGTGGTGCTATAAGTAGGACGTGAGCCCATCTCCGTAGCTCAATGTGCAAGATGTCTTTCCCCCGCACCCAGGGTTCCTTCCATTCATCTTCATCATGGTATATGCCTTCGACACCTTTCATCCGCCGAATTTGCTGCAAACTTGGCTGCTCATCACTCTGCCCATTGAGGAAATTGGCTGAAGATTCAGTGACGATGATACGAATGGAAAACCTGTTTTGGGACCCCAAAGATGCGACTATATTTGGTAGTTTTATCGTGGCAACTGAGCCAGTGGCTGCGAGCAGGATATGAGTCCTTCCGTCATTGGTATAGTTTGCAGCAGAGAATGCTGGAGCTAGATCTTTCTCCATTGGTGTGAATACGTCATAGCATTCCTCGGAATCGTAAACTGATAGTCAACCCCAAGGTAGGAATAGCATGTCAAAGGAAATGAAGAGACAGTTTTCTGGAGAGCGAGTGGGGCCAAGACCGCGTGGATGCGGCTCGACGGCTATGGAACTTAGTTAACTTGTTACATGGACGCCGTTTCCGACGTCCTGAAACCTTCCATCTTGACTAGCTAGTCCTTAAGGGGTTTAAGGGCTTAGAGGTGTAAGTGCCCTCTATAGGTAGAATAAGAGGGCAAGGACAAAAGGGAAAGATTTGAAAGGTAAGTAAATAAGCGAGCGAGGTGTGTGGCTTAGGATATACATATAGACCTTCTCACTCATGCTTAGGTCAGCTAAACCCATTTCCCCCTCATGTCCGGTCTTTCCTCCCTCGCACAAACAGACCCTGGGAAGTCTCAGCACTTCAATCCAACGCCAAATTTCCACGGACTCTATGCTGCATTCGAACTATCAAGCTTTCTACGCAGACATAACCATACAGATATCAACATCACGATTGATTGGGAAGAGGATAAAAAAAAATTGTATTGCTATCCACCGTGTTCAACTAGCCAATTTCGAGGACAGTGTAATGGTACCTCCTAACTGGAACTTGTTACTGATTGATAGTAACCGGCCTAATAGTGACTGGTTAGTGTATAGGTATGCGTGATCTAAAGGCTCATCCCGAGGTGTGGACGTCCAAGTAATTGTTCTCCAGCACCAACTCTCGCACTTGGGTAATAATAAGTCCATCACTGTATTATTAAAGCACATGGGTGATGAGAACCCTAGGGGGTGTAGTCATTAATATACTGTTGAACGGGTAGAATGAGGCCAGTCTTCCTGAGCCATTCGCTGTATGGAAGAGAGTTGAGGTTGTATTCAAGGATAAAATTGTTGGGCTAACAGATATCGACCCTAAGAAAGAGGCCCACTGCTCGTGCTGCTTTGGATCTCCCACGGTTACATTCCGGCGATTAACGAGATAACTCTCTTGCCCTCCTACAATATCAAAATCTCGACAGTTAACTCTGGTTTCGTGAGATGTATTTGCCAGGCAAATTTCTTGCCTCGTGATTGGTCAATCTAATTAATAATACCCGAGGTTCTATATGGCCAAGCTTTGGAGATGCAAAAAAGTTCCTCAAGAATCCGACAACTTCGTTGCATTTATATTAGCTATTGTCTGATTATTCTAAGCCTATTTTCATTCTTTTTTGTTTTTTAACGAGGCCCTTAATCCAAATAGCAGAAAGCAGCATGGCTTCTAGACTATCAGCTTCGTCGGTAAGGATTAAGCCGCAGTTATGTTACCTTAATTAGCACTCACGCTCTCGACAGCTTCTTCGATTCACCCGCCTACCAAACCCGACGACAAAGAGGTTCGGACTCACTCCTTTGCAAATACGTCTACTCTCCGACGAAACCCGATCCGCCATCGATAAGGCTGTAGCCTCGGCGCCGGTTGTCCTGTTTATGAAAGGCACCCCAGAGACACCGCAGTGCGGGTTTTCAAGGGCTAGCATTCAGGTTCTGGGTCTACAGGGGCTGGACCCAAAGAAGTTCACAGCATTCAATGTGCTCGAGGACCCCGAGCTAAGACAAGGTAGGTACAATTGCAATATGGTAGTGGTAATTGAAGTATATGACTAACTTGTTGGTCTTTGTTTCATATCAGGGATTAAGGAATATTCTGACTGGCCAACCATTCCCCAACTATACGTCGAGAAGGAGTTCATTGGTGGATGTGATATCTTGATGACCATGCACCAGAATGGAGAGTTGTCTAAGCTTCTCGAAGAGAAGGGCCTGGTCGTGCAGGCAGGGCAATGATCGAATCTATGCGCAATCAGAGAGATATGTCAGTATATGTTACAATAGTCGGCGTTACTGAGAGGGTCAAACTTCTGGGTTTATGTGTTTCTCTTTTCCACTAATAGGCCGTAAATTTGTCTATACATGTATGCCGTTTGGGGTAAGCATGAATTGGAGGATGTAATACATACATATAAACTCCTATTTATACCCTGGACTTCTAGTTTGCTTTTCTCAACTATCCAATGTTTCTGATATCCGGCCGAATATAAGATGCACTGGTGGTGATTCCAGACTGTGCGCATGGGCCCTACCTGTATGGAGACCCAAATAGGAAATCTTTACTACATACCTTCAACCACAACTTTTTGTCTCCCAGTTTCTATTTTACAAAAGACCATATTTGCCATCACTTCCCCAAAGCCCCGTACACAACGGTTTAATGGCGGAGTCATACTGGTACCGCTCTATATACAAGGGCCGAACCACCCGGAACTCGACACCGCAGCGTTCGCCCGGGCAAACTCCATATACTAAAGCTAATGCGAGTATGAGGAGACTCAGATCCAGCATCGATATGGAGCCCTTGGATATCCTGGACTCAAGAACGGATACAGCCAGGCCATACCCACCTACCAAGGAGCTAAACGATGGGCAAAAGGTTCTGGACTCGTTCGTCGGTTAGTATGGAGAACTATGTGATGCAGCCCAAGAATTCCTCTGACTGCTGGCAACAGATCTACTGGAGTCCGCCCGAGAGGATATGGCAGAAGAGCTTTCTGCAGCAATCTCAAGCACTGAGGACTCCATGAAAACTCGCCTCGATGAGATGGCTACAGCATACGCTAACAGGACAGACGAATTCCAGGCTAACTACACGAAGGTGTTAAGCCGTATCGGGGCGTCAGCTCCAGGAGAGAGTACTGCTGGGGGTCAATCTGCGGAGTTAGATTCAGCAGAGGTGTTCTGCTTTGATCGAGCCGCATTCTCGAGTAAACTAGAGGCCGAAAAACGTTCTCTCGAGCGATTGTGGAGCGAATGGGAGAAAGTACAGCAGAAAATAATCTGTCTTGCTGTTGAGGTTCTTGGAGTGAAAAGGGCCGGTATCATAAAAGACCCGAAGAAGAAGGCGATGAAGAAGAGACTGAACCGTGCTGCTGCTTTATTCGAGAAGCAGCAGTCTGAGCAGGGAGCTATGCGGGGCGAGCTGCAAAAGCAGCATCAAGCGATTACGTTGTTGGCGGAAAATTCGGTAAAACAATTGAAAGCCCGTCAGAAGGTATTGTATATATTTACTGTCTGTTTTCCTGGGCCACTGGTGTCACTAACGATTATCACTTGCTAAAAATAGAAATCTATGGACCAGAGAAAGAGACAGCGCGAGGAAGTCTGCCAACTTGCAAAGAGGATGCTAGCACATGTTTAACTGGCTTACACGTTCGGTCTATGTTTCTATTCAATACTATATAATTTCTTACATGCACGAAGCTCTCTGTGAAAAGTCATGTACATCATTGACGTTTTATAGCATTATCTATGACTGTCCCATACTTCTAATTACCTTGTGCAGACAACTTAGCTGCTTCCTCCTGCTTCTTAACCTCTGCCTCGTTGATACTCTTGAGCATTTTGATCCTCTGTCGTTCCTCGAAGGCTGCTCTGGCTCTCATGATTCGCTGTACTATTTCTCCAGCATTGACGTTTTGGAATTGATGGTTGCCGATTTCTTTGAATATCCCCAATTTCCTAGGTTCTTCATACGGGTCAAAGGTTAGAGGGATGAAAGTGGTAGGTCCATGGTACACCACATCAGCCATTCCAAACGGCAGGGCACTTAGGAATGCTTCGGTTGGAGTAAAAGGGGCAGCAAACACGACAGCATTTATATACTTCAAGAAACATTAGCCTTGTCCGAACTTGTGAAGGGACGGGTCATGCTTACACGACACTGGAGGACGCAGAGACCCCGCTCAAAGATGTTCATGATTGGGTAATTCAGACCCTTCCAGCGATTAATTACCTCGTCATCATGTACGCCGGCCACGATATACGCGGGTCCGTAATCCTCACCAAGTTCCTTTACTCTCTGTGCCACCTGGTCTGGGTGGAACCACCCACGAGCATCTCCATCCCTTTCTTCTGCAGAGTGCACGCAGCGGAGAAACTCGATATGGCCAGATGAAAACAAGTCGAAACCACCGTCAACATAGACAATCTTCTGTCCTGGTTTCGGCTTTACACCTTCGACCAGTCGCTGCAGCTGCTCATGTGCTCCGCCAGTGGCAGATGTGCTGCTTAAAGTTGACGGGCCATTCCAATGCCAGACCTCAGGTCCAGGGCGTAGCCCTGTCTCGTCTGTGGCATAGTCTCTGATACGCTGGAAATGACTCTTGCCAGCCTCCTCCATCTCCTCAGGAGTTCCGGAGCCCTCCTTCCCTGTGATATAAGCTAAAAGGGACTTGATAAAGTGAGTCTTCGTGCAAAGAAGCATGCGGCCAACCAGGTCAGTGGTCGAGATGCCAGGGGTACGCTTCACCACTAGAAAGCGGCCTGCCTCCTTGACGAACCGATAGCAGTCGTTGCCATCACTGTCTGAGGTGATATCGTCCCCATGAACAACATACTGGCATCCATAATGAGATATCCAGTCAAGAGAAGTAACATATGGAGCGTACGGGATGGACTTTGTTGACCATCGACAAGCATCCACAGCGGCAATCCTTCAGGCCTAATCAGCAACTTCAAGCAGTGAAGAAGAATAGCGCAAAGGAGAGAAAAGAAAACAAAGAGAGCCCTGCGTGGAAGCCGTAGGAGTACTGATTGACCAACCGTTCAGCAAGGGTCATGACGGTAGGCCCCTTATTGTCCGATATCTCCTCGTCTGAATGCACACCAACGAGCAGCTCCTTTCCCAGTCTGCGGGCCTGTAGCATGGCTCCCGCATGGCCTAACCCAGCCGATTAGAATAACAGCCCACGAAAGACGACGAAATGCTGTAAGTAATGCATCAAATTGGCGAAACGAACCGTGGTGGCTGAAGTCGAAGCAGCCGTCTACCCAGATCCTGTCCTTTGATATCTCGACATCTTCCTGGGGGTCTGCTGGCCATTGTCCCGGCCGTGGGAGTGCCCCGCGCTCAAACGCCGCCATCTCAACATCAACAGAACACACAAGACGACCGCAGCACAGCGGTCGGTCTCGCAGCAAAAAAGAGCTAGTGATCGCGTGTGATCCAGCGTCGACGGCTCCCGCGTCCCAGCTCAGTCGATCCTCCAGGTGGCGCTCGCCATCGTATCAGTTATTATGATTATTTCTGTCCGGTCTTGCGCTCGTCGGTTTCGTCCTTCGCTTTCGCTCGTTTCGCGCGCAAAGTCAGCAGCCCAAAAAGAAAAAGAGCCCACAACAGGGCGCTGTATGACTAAGCATCTCCCCTTGCCCCGACGATACGTCATCGTTACACGCAACCTCGGTAACTTTGCCCCTGCTTCGGTGGCAGCTGTGGTAACTTTGCCCCTGACCCGCCGGCAGTCTTGTCACGTACCGTATTTTCCGACGGCGCCGCTGCTTGTCTTCCGTCATCCTGCGCTGCTGCAGCCCTGGTTCTTCCAACATCGAAGGCTCGCATTAGCGTTCAATCTCCAACAAGTCGACCACCGCGCTCCCTCCAGCCCTTCGAGAGGCGCTGTAGCGTACCCGTCTCTTGGTCCATCGAGGACTTAGCATGTACCATCGGTTCCCGCGTGAGAGGAGGGGGGTCCCACACCCTTGACACTTCGAAAAAGATGCAGTCCGCTATAAAGATGCCCAAGCTCGAGACGGAGAAGGCGTCGGCTCACAACACCGTACGTTGACCTCCCTTTTGCTCTCCCTTCTTTGCTTCTCTGTCTCTCTCCTTCCCCCCCCCTTTTGTACCTTTTTTATACCTTCGTATACCTCCAAAGCCGCAAAGCTGGAGTACTCGGCTGCGCTCCATGTCAAGGCTATCATGTCCGGGGGAGACTTCCTTGCTCCTCCCCCGGACACTAGAGCCAGAGAGGTAAATCTTGCTATATTATTCCAATGCTTACCTGCTTTGCCTCGTTTTCTGGCATCTAAACATGTCTAGGGATTCAATTCATCCTCCACTATATCTACCCCTATAACAGGGAGCAACAACCTTGGACCCCAGAGTGCCACTAATATATACTCCCACATACACGAAACCGCATCAAAACGGATACAGACCCTCGATTACTTGCGTAGCGCGTGAGATACCTGCTTCCCCTCCCCCCTCCCCCCTTTTTCTCCGGCCGTTGTCCTTCTAGGTGGTGGAGCGTAGTGCTGACATTCTATCAATCGGATGACAGTCACAATGGCAGGGTATACTGGTTCAATACCACACACTTCTCCAAAGCAGATCTCGCTCGCATGCCCTACTTTGAAAAGCGAAAGCTCACACGCCGCGCTATAAACTTCCTCTTTCTGGGCTTCTCCCTCCCGCCGATACTGGATGTCAGCTCGGGACTGTCCGAGTACCTCAAATCCCTCAACGCTCTCCTACTCGAGTTCGAATCCTTTCAACAGATCCATTCCGTAGATGGGGGACCTGCTGCAACTCTGGCCCGTGCAAGGCTGCCGCACATGTTCAAGCGGTCAGGCCAATCCACCAAGGTGAGACGGACAAGCTCAGCTACCGAGATTGGTCTGCCCATGCAATCTGGAGGAGTAGATCACCATTCTGAACTTAAGCCCATGGGCAACATGGCCTCCGCAGGCGGCACCTCTGCAGTCTCCACGTTCCCGTCTAACTCTGAGTCACAGGATCTACTCCCTGGTGAAGAATACACATTCCTCCTTACGCCTTCGTTGCCGTTTGACCCGGACTATTTTGAGATATTCGCCACTCTATGCGACGTGCTTATCGACTGCTATTCGAGGCTGGTCTCCCTTGTTTCTCACCCTAGCCTTTGCAATGCTGCCATGGGCGAACTCTTTACCAAGGCTGACGCAAAGCTACGGAAAGTGATCGTAAGTGGTATTGTCAGAGAGTTTGAAGACGCCAGCCGGGCCAGCGCGAAGAGCGAGATTGCTGGAGTTGGACGTATGGTTTTAGGTGGACTTCTGGGTTAAGCGATAGTTCGGGCTAAGTTTTTGTAATTAGTTAATGTCTAACACTGATAAGAGTGGACAACACATTATGACGATCTAATGAACATATGCCCAGCGCGCTCGTCTTCTCATTTCCCAGTTTATCAATATCAACTTGCTGCATGTCAGATACTAAAAATAATGACTCTTTAAGGTCATCATGACATGTATTTGTGTGCTATACTACTAGCCTCTAAGATTGCCTCCACTCTTGTATAATGTATATAGTGTACAATCGGACACCGATATCTTGCACATAAAGAAGAGGTATAAACGAGGGGGAGCAGGAAAAAGATGAAAACAGGGAACAAAAGAAAAATAAAAATAATAAAAAGGGAACGCTCATCTAAGCCGAGTTGCGCCGTTCCCATTTTTAATTAACCATCCAGATGAACAAAAGAAAATGGTATCCAACGCCAAATGTCAAATAAAAGCATGGTCTTTCTTTTTGAGGGGGTCGTGATTTAATGTGAACGCAAATCGCTCACAGGAAATAGAGTCAAAACCGTAACTCCGCTGGTATAAGGATGTAGAGTGAAAATACTCTCAAGATCGATGTCAACGGTTGCGTGGCAAACGGAGTCGGTAGCTGCCGGTCGAGTATAGGCTTGACCGATTGATAGGAAATTGAACGGTTGTTGGTAGTATTAGCCGTAGCATCGTGGGCTATTGGTGTGCGCGCTGGGCCTCCATTTCTTTCTTGTGTTCCAAGAAAACCCGCCGGCTCATTTCAAGGACAGACTCGAAGCCTTCGCGGCCCTTCTTCGCGTTCTGGCTGAAAGTCTCTACGCTCACGTCCTCGATTTTGTTCTTGATCTTCTGCCATCCGCTGCACATGGCAGTAATTTGGGCCTCCTGCTTGAAGTCCGTTTTGCTGCCGGGCATCGAGCTTGATGGTTGATAGGTAACGACCTCTCGCACCTTAAGGACGTTGGCCCATGATAGATTCGTAGAGCACATGGTGACTTTCTTCGACCGTGGGTCAACGTAGGATACCTCGTAAACATGGGATGTCGAGCTGCCTCCAAACAGTTTAAGAATCCATTGAGGGGCTGATTGGTTGCATGTTATCAGACGCTCAGTTCGTAGCTATGACGAGAGAAGCCATTTGGTTAGCCGGTTTGTCCAGCGTAATCATTAACGATGTACGCCGGAGAGACTCACTATGCCAGATTCTGGATTAATATCGTGGGAGAGCACATCCACCGCGACGACATGGGTGGACTTCTCATTCCAGGGACAATATTTACGCCAGTTGGCAGTGGAAACCTCGTCCCAGGAGTAGTTAAAGGTGCATGTGGACTCGAAGACCTTCATCGTCGTTCTGACACGGAGAAGAGGAGTAACAGAATCGACGTCCTTTCGCTAACACGACACAAGGGATTAACCCTAGCCCTGAGTGAGGCCAAACAGAGTAAGGTAGTATTATATATTAGTCTATGATTGAAGATTGACAGGAGGCCGATGAACTCGACCGTTCTCTATTGTTGACTGTCGATAGGAAAGATGAAAAATGCAACTCCCGATGACGCTTTGCTCCGGCCGAATTTCAAAGCAGAAAAAAATATTTTTAAGGAAAAAAAAAAATGAGGAACCTCCGCTGACTCATCGGTGCCAAGCCCGTCCGTGCCGGTTTGACCCGCCAAGGCACATGAGCATCACGTGCCACTATGTCATTCCTTTTTCCTCTTCAGCTTTTTGATATGTTAATGTCGTTGTGGGAATTGATTTAATGCTTGTATCATATGTCTCTGATGGCCTGTCTAGCAGAGGCTTGGACACCCAAATGACAAGAGGGCTGGCGGACCAGCCGTTGCGAGAGCGGTGGCTCCAGCAGTCGTTGGACCCATAGATGAAGATGCGTGGCACGTGACTGACGCCTCGCCTCCCTGTCGCCAGATCTATCAAACAGACGGCCAAGGCATGGAGCTCCAGCAGCTATGAACACCAATGCTGCGGTGAGTGGCCACTATTTGCGATGGAAGTAAGGCCGTTTCACAGATCCTCCTATCCTTGATCTCGCCTATTCTTTCGAAGCATGCGCATTGTGTCGTTGAGAAAGTTGATTTCGACCCTTTGACCAACTTTACCAGCGTTGCTGCCAAAGCTGGCTCCCCGGGAATAGAATGCACTTCAGCGGATATACTGCTTGCTCGAGCGCATAATTGACACAGACAAAGAACCAAGTCATGGCTACGAAAGAAGATGATGCCGCCGTCACTGCGTCTAATGAATCCCTTGCTCAACCCAAGTCCGCCACAGTACCGCCGAGCTCTACTTCCCAATCACTCGTCGACCAAGTCAGCCTCTTCGTTGCACATGCAGATGGGACAACCTTGATTTCAATTTCAGCCGGAGTTGTTGCCGTGTCTTATGTGTTGTTCGGCAGACTTGCCCTTCTTCTCGTCGGTGCTATTGGAGGAGTCATCCTGCACATATGGTGGGAAGGACAGGACAATGGAACAAACGGAGATGATGAAGGGGCAGCAAAGCGCAAACGACATGAACTTAGCTTGGAGGTAGCCAACAGATTGACGGCGCTGTACGTTGACAATGGCTCAAAGCAGGAGGATGATGAAGACACTCTTAACAGATCAGCGGAGTCCTCCCTGGATTACTCAAAGATGGGACCAGCAACAGAAGCCGCATTGACTGCTTTAACTAATTCGGTAATTGCAGACTATGTAAGGTGAGCTTGACAATAGCCCTGGGGCTCTCTAATGGTAAATATGAGGCTAATCATGTTGTTAGCTGGTGGTATAAGCCTATTTTACCTTCTGAAGATGAGTTCCCTGAAGCATGCCGCAATACGCTTGTGAGCATGGTCCTGGCTGTATCATCTCGTATTTCTCGCAAACGGCCTGCCGACATGTTTCTGCAGTTTGCAACTAATTCAACATCCTTCATGATTGTATTCTTCAGTGAACTGTCTGCTGCTGTCGGTACAGTCACAACGGGTTCTAGGCCTGTGGCCGACTCTATAGACGAATACCTGGACAAACACCCAGAAAGTAGTCTAGCCAATGTGTTATCATCCACCCAACAAGAGAAAAAGCTTGGTCTCGTTGGAACAGATATACTTAAAACCTTCCTTGAACCATCAGTTTATAACTGTGGTCCTCTTCGCATTTTCCTGCGTGAAGTCCTGTCTCGGTTGATACTACAACCCACAATAGACATGTGCTCTGATGCAGAGTATATCAATACGTGGATTGTGTATCTACTCGAGCAAGGGGAACCGCAGCTTTTGAACGCTATTGACGCAGGGCTTGAGCAAGCAGACAATGTCAAGCAGAAAAACCTGACCAGTACCGGTACTCCAACCACCAACGTACTGGAAGGGAAGGTCTCCAATATTGTTACTAATCTTGGAAACCAAAAGCTAGCCGAAAAAATGCAACCTATAAGGCAGCCTTTTGATACCGATTTTGCCCAGAATGGGGACATCAGCGCAGTCGCAATGCCAAAAGAAATACCTAGATCAGCAGACTCTGAGGAGACCAGCGGGAATTCTACACATTTACCCACTGACTCTTCATCTAATACTACTGACCACCAACCTACTCCTGGCTCAAGTACTAGTCTCAACGAAAGTTCACTCGATAATCCCCCCCTTGACAGCCAAACAACACCAATCATGAGTACTTCTGCCACCTCTCTAATTACCATGCACATTTCACAGTTTCGCGGCTCTTCGGTTGCCATTATCGAAGACTTTAATGAAGATGATAAAAATAATATTCGCTCAAAACCAACGAGCGAGTACTTGATCCAGATTGAACCCAGCAACCCTAAGCTCACTGGCTGGATGATTGCCAGGAAATATAGCGACTTTGAAATACTGCATGAAACTCTACGACGAATTTCCGTTGTATCTGGAATTTCTGATTTCTCGCTACACCATAATGAATTACCCGGGTGGAAAGGCAGAAACAGGAATGGCTTACGAATTTCTCTTGAGAACTACCTCCAGACAGCTTTGCAATATGAGCAGCTAGCAGAGTGTGAGGGGATGAAGAAATTTTTGGAAAAAGGGCGACAATCCGGTTTTGAGCCAGAGTCCGCTTCGTCCAAGTCTGGGTTTCCATTCGCAGCCCCTGTGGCTGTTTTTGAGAACGTTGGCAAAGGAGTAATGGGCGTCCTGGGAACTGCGCCAAAGGGCGTTGCAAATAGTAAAAAGGCCATCGTCGGTGGAGTCTCGGGAATATTCGGGGCATCGGGCAATGATAATAGGAAGCGAACCAGCAGTAATGCAGCAAGCAGACCTACGGCTGTACGGGGCACCTCAATGGATATCCTGCCATCACCCATGACCAACGTCACAGCTCACTCTAAGACCTTATCAATGAGCAACTTGCAAGATCGACCTAGAACAACTTTCCAGCGACAGCCAACTCATCTAGAAAACGAATCAGGAGATATCGGCTTTGGATTACCTACTTCCATCACTCATACTGATAGTTTGCTGGCTAGCTCATGTGAGAATTTAGCTGACGAAGGAAATGTTACACCACTGTCGTCATCAGATACCCCAGATACAGTGCATGTAGCTCTTCCTTCAGAGGCCAATGTTGAGCCTAACAAAGAGCCGGCCACTAGGGATAAACCTGAATCTGCTAACTTGGGTGATGTGGAACCACCACCAAAGAAAAGCTCAGAAGGTCGTAGTTACGCCCCAGTTTCCGAGGAAGAAGCAGTGGTCGTAGTTGAGCTACTTTTTGCTGTGATCAACGAAGTGTACAGTCTGTCATCAGCATGGAATATTCGGAAGAGACTGCTCAATGCCTCAAAGTCTTTCCTCCTCCGCCCGGGCAACCCTAGTTTGGAAGCTATTCGGACTCTTCTCCAAGATTCAATAATTGATGGTATTACGTCTGATGAGGCTCTCGCTGGGTATATAACCAAGCTGCGCAAAAGTAGCTTGCCAACAGAAGAGGATATGAAGGCGTATCCTCCTCCACTATCGCCGGAACAGAAAGAACAGCTCAGAATTAAGGCACGAACGCTACTGATAAGTCGAGGTATGCCGCCAGCTCTGATGGGTATTATGGGCGCAAATGCAACAGGAGAGGCACTAGGGAAAATATTTGATTGTTTACAGATACCATCCGTTGGCAGGGCCTTCGTCTTTGCCATCCTTTTGCAGGCAATCAGGGTGATGACACAATGAAAAATCAGTAGAGCTGTATAAATATACAAACATACTTTTGACGAATTAGCTAGGCCAATAAGGTTCAAATAGATTCACCCTTCCTCTAAGGCTAGAATTAAACCCTTGGAAACCGAAGAAATAGTTCTATCCAATCAAAGAAAAGTCTAGTCCTAGATCTGGCAAAGGCTAAAATTACATCTATTTAGTCGTTCCGTCTTCCCCAAGAGAAACCAATCGCCGCTTTTTGAGAAACAAAAATGTGAAAAAAGAGAGAATGCTGCAAACGGTAAGAAGTTATTTGAGGAAGAGAAGATAGAAAGGAAGTTACTGGGGTCAGGGAATCACCAGGATGCTCTAGATGCCAACCATTGTCGAAACATGAAGAAATATATGAATCTATGCGTGAGATTGGGAAGGAAATTTGGTAGTTAGCGAGGATGGTTTATTTTGATAGACCGACGAAGAAATCCCGTGTAAGCTCAAAACTGAGCCAGCTGCTGGCCATGCTTGGAGCAACTTTTAGCAGGTTAGGAACGATGCCCTTGTAGAAACCGCGGAGGCCTTCTTCAAGAGCGATTACTCGGACAGCATCGAAGATGGATGTGTATTTGTATCCCAAACCAGACATGGTGTTTATCTGGAACCGACGGCGGAGAACATCACTTGAGTTCATGTAAGTTTGGGAGCCTAGTGGAATTGGTGGTTGAGAGGCTTACAATGGATATGTGCATGTTTGAGCCACAGCACCTGATATGGCTCCTGCTAGTAGTTTCCTCAGAGCACTTGGGTTCGCATCACCTTCAGGTGTGAGGACCTTTCGTATAGATTCATATGTCATGAAATTTAATCCAACCTTTCCCACGGTCAGTTGATATTATATTCTTGATCCTTGGGGAAATCATTGAGGTAAGACTTACGTAAGGAGCCACACCGGCAACGGTAGGGAGAATTCCTCTGTATAACGCAACGATGCCGCCCTCATTCTTGTACATGAGGCGCATTGTCTCATACATTCCAGGTAGTTTTGTTTGATGCTGGTTTTTCAGTTCCGCAAAGGATGCTGACTGGATCGAAAGGCGGGTACGTACGATATCCAACGGGTAAGTGAAAGTGACGGACGTTATACCAGCGAGCCCACCACATGTAAGCCGTCGCAGGGGAGTCAGCTCTCCACCGGGCGTCGGTTCAAATGCCTATGATCGAAGCCAGTTAGCATCATCCAGCAATATCCTCTCGCAATAAAGAACGTCTTCCATGCCCGTACCTTTTTATATAAGTTGTAGCTTCCAAATTGGACTGCGGAGTATGGAACAATTCGAATACAGTTTGTTCCATTACCACGCATGAATCCTCTCCAACCTTCTTCTCTCCACATTTTGGCAAGACCTTTGCTTATGGAGAGTTTGTATTCTTCTCGACCAACACTCTGGACTTGAAGCAGAATCTTCAACCGTTCCAGCGGGGACACAATCGTTCTGGACACGGCGCCTGCAACACCACCGCCGATGAAGGCCGCAACGACCGGCTCTGCTAACCTGTCTGTCACTGCAGCGAGAGCAGCATTTCTTTGCTTGACCTATAAAGTGAAATTCAAGCCACGGTTAGCCCGTCGATTGTCACTTCGGTAGAGAGAAGCCGAATTCCATTCCATCGAAAAAAAAAAAAAAAAAAAAAAAAAATCTAACCTGTGCCTGTGGGAATACCTCTGCAGCTCCGGCAGGTAGCTGTGTCAAGCCGTGACGCAGAGCGGCCCTGTCATCTGGATTATCATCTTTGCGATTGAGACTCATCGTGAGGGGTACAATCGAGTAGCTCCAGACCCGAAAAGCAATCAGCAACGGTCCTACTATCGGTTGACTGGCAAATGGAGCTACCTAAATAGGCCCCGGTTTTATAATCCTTGTAGCCGTGAAAACTGCTCTTGCGCGCAACTGGCCGAGAGATGGACTCCGGTCTGGAGAAAGGCGAAAGCTAGACCCAAGAGGGGTAAATGGCAACAGTGAAGTATCTGGAGAGAAACATGCTCCGGAATAGAGGGCGACTGGAGGGGAGAGTGGTCGTTGAGTCGACTGAATGCTGTCTTAAACCATCCGTATATCGAGAGCCAGGCGAGGCTTGATAGGCTGATTTAGGGGAATCTCGACTTATATCCGGGCTGGCGACAAGAGGGCGACAAGTGACGGCTGGCTCAGTCACGGATCCATCTAACAAAGCCTGGGCAGGTGACGGGAGTGAACAACGCAAAGAACAGCCAATGCTCTGGTGTTCAAATGATCTACTTGCAAGTGTTAATCCAGAGGATGGTGAAGCGCCCTTTGCATAGCAGTCTTGACAGTTATTGTCCGTTATTTTTATTTTTTTTATTTTTTTTTTTTTATTTTTTTTTTCCTTTCTGAAGAGCAAAACGAGAAAAGGAAAAAAAAAAAAAAAAAGAAAAGAAAAGAAAAGAAAAAGAAAAAGAAAATAAAGCTGAGATTCCCGTTTTCTCGCCTGCTTACGTCATGCATTATATAATTACGGGCTAAGATTTATCCGACATTTTTCCGGCTCTCCTTCCTTTTTTTGCCCTTTTTTTCCCTTTCCTCCTTGCAACAACAACAACCTTGGAACAACGTCGACTTCTGCTGCCTGAAGGACGAACGACGAGCTCTAAACACAGCGCAGTCGTCTTGCTTCACGTTTGTACGACGCATATAAATTATATTCTCTATAGTAGGGCCTCCCTTTGTTAGTCTTTTTGATCCTTCACCATGTCTCGTGGCGGCGGCACCACGCTCTACGTTACCGGTTTTGGCCACGGCACTCGAGCCCGAGAACTCGCCTACGAATTCGAACGGTATGTCCTCATCGTCGAGCTCCCCCTGATCGATACCTCTCGACCGATCCTTCTCTCTACGTCTTGAGTCCGAACCGTCAAAAAAGCGATATTCATTTCTTCCTGTTTCCTGTCTCGTCAACGGTCCTACGCCTCCCCCGAACGCCCTTGGCATCAAGTTCTTTTTCACGATGAGCTCCCTCGTCCATCAAGATAGCTTCTACCATATACCCCCCTGACTGGTTCTTGTTGTGAGGCTCATACGGAATTATATGCATATACTATATCATATCCTTACTCTTCCTGGTCAAGAACAAAGAAGGTCGCCATTGATACGTATCGTCTTGCTAACACTTCTTCTAAAGATATGGGCGCCTCGTGAGGTGCGATATCCCTGCTCCCAGGACAGCTTCAAGCCGACTGTAAGATAAATATAGACCTGGATTAAGCTATTGTGGTACAAGGGGCATGCTAATGGTATTTCCAGATTTGCCTTCGTGGAGTATGAGAGCCGTCGCGATGCTGACGACGCTTATCATGAAATGCACAACAAGCGTATCGGTCGTGATGACGTTTTGAAGATTGAGGTAAGCTTCCACCCAACACTCACATATGTCTTATGGCTTGAGACTCACTTGTTCATCAGTGGGCTCGCACTCCTCCATCGGCGTCATGGCGCTTCGATTCCGGGCGTGACCGCCGTCGGGAACGCACTCCCCCACGTCGCAGTCACCGCTCTCCATCTCCACGACGAGGCCGCGATTACTCGCCCCGTAAGGACGACCGTCGCGACCGTGACTTTGACCGTCGTGAGAGAGACCGTTCTCGCAGCCCTGATGACCGTGACCGTGACCGGGACCGGGACCGGGACCGGGACAACCGGGATGACCGAGAACGTCGCGAAAGTGAGCGTGAGAATGGTACCACTAATGGAGATGAAAGGAAAGGTAAATAAAAGCACCTCTTGGTTTCCTTGGCGTCAATTCATTATCAACTGACCCGATATAGTTCCCATGGATTCTCCTCCCCCAGCACATGACGAGTTGGACACTGCTGAGTAGGTCAATCGCCAAGTTGCGAAGTTTCCCCCCTTTCCGCCTTAACGCCGGAAAGCCGTCTCTTTCGCCCTTACAGAACCGTCGCTTTATGTTATTCCACACGGGAGTGAGGAACTAGTTGCTTTTACTGGGTAGTATCCCTCTACTCCAACAGTTAACACTCCTCGCAGGTCATGATTTCGCGCCCGTTCTATTGCTTCTATCACCCCGGTTCTCTATCCTTAATCTCTTTTTTCTTCGTTCGTGCTTGCATGTTTCTATTCGTTTTTCAGTGGGCAACTGGGTCTTCTTGCGATGTATAAACACCTTTTAACAGCGTTAGGTAAAATCTAACTTAGAGCTCTGTGGCGTCTTTTCTTTTACCATAACCTTAAGAGACAGGTTTTACCAGGTTGGTGGTGTATCCTTGCTCAAGCCACGGTGACAGGCTCTTACTAGCTCCACTAAATAGTTATTTAATTCGTGGTTATCAATAAAAACATATTTGTTGATTATTCCTAGAACATTTTTAACAAATTCAAAAAAAAAAAAAAAAAAAAAAAAAGGAAGAAGAAGAAGAAGAAGCATCAGCTTTCGTCGAGATAAAAATTGCTAGTCGGGCAATGGGGTATTCCGGAGGTATTGAGTACGTACAGTAATCGGGTCGTGGTTGGTGGCCCAGAACTCTAGTTAGACAATAATATATCGCTTTAGCCGGCATCCCTCAGAATACCAAAGTAAACATCCCCTCTGATTAACCAATAACGCCATCCACTCCGGTTCCCATCTAGCCTAATTCCGTTATACCAGATCATTCAGAATACAATGGGATCCCCATCGATTGCCTGCATAGGCATTATTGGGAAACAGGTTTGGACCTTCCTCCTGATATATATTCATTTACTTACAAGCTGACTTCAACAACCACCGCCGGCGAAAGAACAATTTGCTGCACATGTCCCTCTTTGAGCCACATGTAAACGATCAGCTTGAGTTCTCATTTATATTAAACTCAAGTCTAGATATCTTTGATATGCGACAACAACACACATCCGTGGATCAGGACCTTGGTCTCCTCCACGCCTTGGACGAAAGACTCTCAATTTACGGGTGGTTGACCAACACTGGAGTCAAATTCGCCATAGTCGTGGACCTTGAAGGGAGAACTCCGGCGCATTCATTAGGGCATGAGCGACCTCTACCTGTTGTCGGGCTGCGGGATTCCGATTTAAAGCCGGTATGCGCATACTAGTAGCCCAGTTTATGTACAGATTATGCTGATATTTTGGCCCAGGCATTCCGAGCGTTACAAACAGCATATGTAAAACTACTGCAGAACCCTTTCTACAACCCAGACGATAATGTCCTTGGGAAGGAAAGCCAGACACAGCCAAAGCCAAAGGGGATTGTTAGCCGCCAATTTATTGAAGAGGTCAACCGGATTGGTAGAACGTGGGCTCCAGGCATAGCAGGTCATTAATACGGTTTCCTGAAATGGTCATTCCTACAGTAGCGGAGTTACTCTTTGCTGCATAATTCTCCTGGGTGTTTCGTTCATAATCATGTAATTGGTTTAATGAGGAGTTTGGCTACATTCGGTTCAATCGGCTCCGAGGCGCTCGTGGTAGATACAACATGAAGACCAAAAAAATCACTGTTATATCCTTCCATCCCATTCTCGTCACCCTTACAGCTGATGATGAACCTTGAAAGGCGTTAAGTCGTTAACGAAAGCCGCGTACTCAGCTTTAAGTTTTATATCACGTGATTTATTCTACTTTCGGACTAGCGTAGGGCTTTCTTCCCACACACTCCACTCAAAATTCATCGCCAAAAATTCTTGAAACTCGAGCAGTTGTTCAACCACGCCGCTGCGAAAAGAAGTCCATCAGCAAGACCACTTCGCACCGCAGCCATGGGTAAGTAGCTTTATATTTTCACATCTTGAGCAGCTTCCAGACCATCATCTCGTGTTATGGCTGTCAGGAAGCTAGAAAACTAGTTATTCAATCCTTTGCTAATACACCATAATTGTAGGTATCGATTTGGACCGTCACCACGTCCGCAACACCCACCGGAAGGCTCCAAAGAGCGACAATGTTTACCTTCAGCTCCTCGTGAAGCTTTACCGCTTCCTGGCCCGTACGTCCTGAATGAACCCCTCCGAAGTCGCGAATGCCGAAGAAAGTGTTCAAATTGTGGAAGGAAGTGCTTGAAATTAACCAGGGGCGTTTTCTGTGTGATTATAGGCCGTACGGACGCCAACTTCAACAAGGTCATCCTCTGTCGTCTTTTCATGTCCCGCATCAACCGCCCACCAGTCTCTCTTTCGCGTATCGTTTCTAGCGTTAAGAAGGGATCAGAGGAAGCCACTGCCGGAAAGACTATTGTTGTCGTCGGCACTATCACCGATGATAACCGTCTGCTTGAGGTCCCAAAGATGTCCATTGCAGCTTTGCGTTTCACCTCCTCCGCTAGAGCCAGAATCGAGAAGGCCGGTGGTGAGATTTTGACCTTGGACCAGCTCGCTCTCAGAGCCCCAACTGGTGCCAACACCATCTTGTTGCGCGGACCAAAGAACTCTCGTGAGGCCGTCAAGCATTTCGGATTCGGCCCACATAGCGGAAAGGTTAGTTTTAGATTGATGATATATACCTATTTTGCGGATGGCCATATGGGACTAACGTGTTACTATTATAGAAACCACTTGTTGCCAGCAAGGGACGCAAATTCGAGCGGGCTCGTGGACGAAGAAGATCGCGTGGTTTCAAGGTTTAAGATGGCTGTTGATGGGATACTGTTTCAAAGGTCAGCTTATAAAAATAGTGTAGCTGTACTTGTGATTGAAATGAAATGAATTTCCTACCCCTTTTCACCCACACGGCTGCTAGAGGGCCTCTCTAATGTGAAATAATTCTTTTACCGAAATGACATGAACTCTTTTCGATACCTGTGAATTGCAATGAAAGGTAACGAATCTTTAGTTCAATCTGGTGTCTAAGTACGCATACTGTGTTTTTCAAATCAAATGTCCATCTTTTCTTGTTTCCAGGTTCTACCACCTTCGCCCTGGAAGTAGTCACCCGCAATATGGCCTTCCCCCCGGATCAGGTATTTATATATTGTCAAGCCTTCCAATCCGACAGGGCCCCTTGAGTGAATCTTGTTGGTACTGATTCCAACCTCTGTGCCAAAGCCATACCTCATTCCATCTGCCATCCTAGAACTAGCATTCCAGAAGACGCCTGCACTATCAACCGCACTCAAAAAGCGCTCAGCAAGCTCTCTCGTAGATGTTAATATCACATCGGTATGCTTTGATGAGTGTCCCCCAATGTGTGAGATTGCTGCATCTACATATGATTGGTCACTTGTTCCCTCAACAATTTTCACAGCTATGATTGCATCGAGGAACTCTGTGTTATAGTCTTCCTCGGTCGCATCTTTGAGCAGCGCAAGCTGGTTTGAATCCAATTTATCTTGGAGTGCAGCCTTGGACTTTGGGTCACACTTCATGGTGACTCCCTTGGCAGTTAATGCTGCAGCTACCCTGGGGAAGATAGTTGATAGCGCTCTTTCATCAACCAGAAGTGTCTCTGCAGCATTGCAAGCAGCAGGGTAGTGCAGTTTTGAATCAAGTATAACCCGTTCAGCCATGTTAACATCGGCATCCGAGTGAAGGTAGATAGCACATCTCCCGTCCGCATGGCCAAGAACAGGGATCTTTGTATTCGTTTTCACAAACTTCACCAAGTCATTTGAGCCCCGTGGGATCACCAAGTCAATATGGTCATCTAGTGCCAAAAGTGGGAGAATTGCATCTCGCGTTTTGACTAACTGGACAGCCGCCTTTGGCACTTCCGTCGTAGCCGCAGCTTCCGCTATTACTCTAGATATTTCTATGAATGACTCGGTTGACTCCTTTCCGCCTGCCGCACGGTCAATGTCAGTATTTCCTTATAAACTCCTTGGAATTTTACGTACCTTTTAATATAGCAGCGTTTCCAGACTTGATGGATAGAGCCGCAATATTGGCAATGACTTCAGGGCGAGCCTCGAAGATTATCAGCAAAACACCGATTGGACAGCTGACCCGTTCAAGAATCAGACCGTCGTCTAGCTTTGTTCGTAATGATATATTCCCAACTAAAGAAGGACAAGAACATTAGCAAATGACGAACCATTGCAGGGGGGAATATTTTAAAACCTACTTGGATCTTCTAGATTCTTGACATCGAGAATGCCCTTGAGCATATCATCATATTTCCCAAGCCGAGCCAGGTCAAGTCTCTTCAGAATGCTTGAGCTGAGATCGCCTTTTTCAACTGCCTTTGTAGCGGCTTCGACATCCCTGGCATTGGCCTGAAGAATGATATCTTTGTTCTGCTTGAGCGCATCATGGATGGCCACAAGGGCCTTGTTCCTGGCGTCAGACGACAGGATAGCCAGCTGCCTGGCACCCGCAGAAGCGAGTTTTGCTATCTCGGTTGGAGAAGACTCAGTCAACGACATAACTGCGGAGCAGAATAGCAGCAGCAACTGCTAATAATATATCTAGACTGATAGTTATAATATACTATATTGTTACTTACCATGTTTGTAATGCCCGCTGTAATGGTGGGGGTTGAAGTTGTGCCGCGCTAGTAATTTATGGCGTATTCGTTCCAGTATCTCTTCGTAATATCTATTACATACCAAAATATTACATAAGCCAGCCTTTCAATATGGATCTACTTCAGACGTTCTCAACGCTCCAAAGTCAACACAAGCTTGCATGCCTGATCTTCGTTTGCTGGGTACTTCTCTCTTCTCCTTTCGACGACGTTCATGACAGGAGTTGGGTCTCTTTTTTCGCAGCTAGGATACGGGTTTTCCAGCCGGGTCTTCTTTGCTAGTTACCGCCACCTTAGGCTTTATACCACCTTTGTCGTGTTCAATTCAAGCCGGTCTGATAACGTTGCGTGTGTAGAGACGCCCTACTTAGTACCCCCTTTGTTCAAATCTCGCTTTTTGTTTTATTGATCTACGCTGCGCCCGGGATATGGCAACTCAGCTGCTGCTGTCGTTTCCACCTTCAGCGGAGGTATCGGATGCAGAGTATGACAAGACAATACGTTCGTTCTGTGTCAGTCTCAAAAAGCTATCTTTTGGTGCTTTAGTCGGCCCAAACACATCTGGGCAGGGAAATCATCTTGAGGTGAGAATAATACCCCATTTCCAAACCATCTCATGTATATATATATAATTATCATTATCATTGTCACTCATGCATATCCATTGGTACCTAATATGTTTGCATATATAGATACTGGACCCAGCCATACACTCTGTGGCATATTTACATGTTCTTCTGGCATGTCATCAGATTTCTCAAAAGTCTGATAAATCATCCTTTCAGCCGGGCGGGGAAGGCTGGGAGAAAGCATTGATATTTTTCGAAAAATTTGACCCGGTCCAAGTCCGCTATGCGGGGCGTGAATTCACAAATCTAGTTGAAATCATTGCAGTAATTGCAAGCACTCCGCAAAAGGTATGTGATTACAGAGATAATAGCTGCACAATTTGGCGGAGCTCCGACTGATATACTTGTAGTCATTGCTGGCCATTCAGCCCCTCAAGAATGCCTTGCTTCGGCTGGATCCCTCGGGTTCTACCTTGACAGCAACACACACATTGTTTGTGCGTACATGCCTTAAAGCTAACGCTTGTCGTGCTGCATTGCCAGTACTGGAGAGACCTATCTTCCATATACCTACATCAGTGGATAGAACATACCATAAACGAGCGCAGATACTACCCTGTGTCAAGGATCAATCTAGCTCAACATTTATTACGGATCTCTCTGGTCTTGCGGGAATGATTACTCACCATACTTATCTCGAATATTACCTATACGGGGCTATGATATACATGGTTCGAAAGGAGTGGGATGACGCTTTGAGGTTCCTACACATTGTTATAGCTGCGCCAGTCACTAATACTGTGAGCAAGATCATGGTTGAAGCGTACAAGAAGTGGATTCTAGTGCGTCTTTTGGCCAAGGGACAGGTAGGTTAACTACTCCATTTTACAACTCACCCCATCAATGCCGGAATATGCCCAATAACACTCTCTTGCCAGGTCTCAGCTTTGCCACGGGGGATACCTCCATTTGCAGTGAAGATATTTAAGTCTCTCTCTAGACCTTATGAAGCGCTTGCAGACATATTCCGCGACGGTACTCTGCAAAGATTGGAAGCAGAAATATCCGTAGGAATTGATCTATGGGATCGGGTAAGTTTAAAAGAATGCTTTTCCGGCAGCTTAATTCCGAGATGTGACATGATATTGACCTACAGCAGGATGGGAACGCCCACCTTGTATACCAGCTTCCTGCTGCGTATCGTCGGTTCTCTATTTTGAAGTTGGAGAGGGTGTTTTCAGCGATATCAATACCTGAAATTGCAAACAGAGTCTCTTACGAATGCTGTTCTGCTCAAAAATTAGAGGAGTATATCGCTTCATTGATAGCGGATGGTCAGTTAAACGCACGACTTGTCCAGGCTGTGGACCCCTCTGGCCCTTCCGTACTTCGTTTTGGCAAGAATAATACGGGCATGGATATGTCCGCAGAAGCTCAGCTCTCTGCATCCCTCATAAAGGAGAAGAACCGTATCAAGGCCATGATAGACAATGTTGCGAGAATCGACGTGAGGCTTGAACTGGGGGAAGATTACATGGACGGACTGGTGAAAGCTCAACGAAGGGCCGGCGCGAAGAATAGAAACGCTAATACCTTCGACGAAGATATCATGGCCACTTCCCGCTAGAAGGGCATACGCATGTTTACAAATTTGTGATAGATAGACTTGAAGCAGAAGCAAGGAAGGAGATGATTGATCTGAGAACGTGAATGATTGATTCTCTGAGGAATAATACGTTTGGTAGCGCAGGTTTCAAAAGAAAATATACAATTTGCGCTGCTTTGGCGTCAAGGTATTTCCAGCTTATGGCCGGTAAGAAAAGAATGGCTCATGGGGATATTTTTCTTGAACACAGAAACAAGAATAACAGGCCAGTACATCATGTTCCATGATAGGCGGCAAGTAAATCGTCAGATAAAAGCTTATTTATAAAACAGACCGAAGACGACTTAATTTGAGACGGGAGGGGTAGTGGTAGCAGGCTGAGCGGCGGGCTGAGCGGCCACTTCAGCAATGGAAGCCCCGGTGCCAGAGAGGTCGGTGGCCGTTGGGTTCTTCGAATAGTAGTTGTTGATGGCCGACTTGATAGCATCCTCCGCAAGCATGGAGCAATGAACTATCTACTTTGTCAGCATTTGACCAATTTTATGCATGTTAATGACAAGACTCACGCTTGACTGGAGGAAGACAAAGCTCCTTTGCGATCTCGGTATTTCTGATCTTGGCGGCTTCTTCAAGCGTCATGCCCCGTACAAGCTCGGTCAGATAACTCGAGCTGGCGATGGCACTTCCACAGCCAAATGTCTTAAATTTGACGTCGCTGATGGTGTTGTTGCTCTTGTCGACTCTGATCTGGAGTTTCATCACATCACCGCAGGCCGGAGCTCCGACCAAGCCGGTTCCAACGTCCATGTCGGTTTTTGACATTGAACCGACATTCCGTGGGTTGCTATAATGATTTAACAGTGCATGAGGTCAGTCAGACGAATCGCTGAGTCCGCTATGCCGGCAAGGAAGAGGAAACATATCTTTCTCATGGTAGCTTCTGGTTGTTCGGAAGGTGAGCGCAGGCACCGGAGCGAGTGGCGTCAAGGCCGGCCGTGATACAGCCGGAGACGCGATGCATCTGGCCGCTCTGGGAGCAAGAGAAATGGCTCGTCTGAACATTGTGAAGGAGTGTATGATATGATATTCTCAGCGTGTGGGTCTGCCTGGGCGAGAGAGCGAGGGCGAACGAGAGCGACGAGGAAGAAAAAGAGTTGCAACTTATCTGATGGAGCAAAAGTCGGAGAAACCAAGAGGATCAGATAAAGTCGCCTCCGATGCTCCGCTGCATCACATGATGTCACGTGAAAGCACCAGCCATCCTATCACAACCGCGATATAAAGTATTAGCTAAAAAAAGCGACGACGACATCAGAAAACAGAGGACGAGAGCGACAGCGAGCGGAAGGGCGAGAAGACCGAGCATCCGTCCGTCAACTGTTCTCTAGATCACAATAGTGGCAATGAATCCCTCACGGGGAAGCAACTTTGCCGTCAGGCTGCTGGGTGGGTTTCTCTCTTTTCCTGCTTCATATGTTAATGCGCCATGCTGAACAAGAGGGATATAATGCAACAGGCCAGCATCGCCCAATCCTTTCTACCACTCTGCCGGCTCTTTCTAGCTCCAGATTCCAGTCGACACAAGCTGCGACTGAGCAGTCGAGCGCCCTCCAGTCTACAGCCGGATCTGTCCCTGCGCGGAAGCCAAGGAGAGAGGTGCCTCTGCCCAGCCAGGAGAAACCCCAGGGTGTCCTCGACTATGCCTTGTTCGTTACTTCCTCTATATTTCAGCTCCTGCATCCCCAGGAATGCTAAGTGGGAGGTGCAATTGCTAATGGGGAAATCGGTAGGACTACGCTTGACCAGGTAGCCAACTGGGCTCGGCAGGGCTCTCTGTGGCCTATGACCTTCGGGCTGGCATGCTGTGCCGTAGAGATGATGCATCTGTCTACACCCCGATACGACCAGGACAGGCTGGGAATTATCTTCCGAGCATCGCCGCGTCAATCCGATGTGATGATCGTTGCTGGCACATTGACGAACAAGATGGCTCCGGCCTTGAGGCAGGTGTACGATCAGATGCCGGAACCACGATGGGTAATTAGTATGGGCAGTTGTGCCAATGGCGGTGGATACTATCACTACAGTTACTCTGTCACTCGTGGATGTGACAGAATTGTGCCTGTTGACATCTACGTTCCTGGTTGTAAGTTTCAACTTCGACTTGGAAAGTGCTCATGGACTTTGACTAATGACTGTGGTCTAGGCCCCCCAACGTCTGAAGCGCTGATGTACGGTATCTTCCAGCTGCAAAGGAAGATGCGAAACACAAAGATCACTCGTATGTGGTACCGACGATGAGCTGGTTGTGCTGTGTGTGTTTTAGGGAAGAAATGAGAAATGGAAGATATCCTGTAAAGTACTTTCTTTGTACAGCAACTCGGTGAGTGTGAATGCCTTGAGTTCACCTCGCTCTAGTTATCGCGCTCTTTCTTCGTCTTTCTTTTTTCTTTTCTTTTTCTTTTTCTTTTTCTTTTTTTTTTTTAGTTCCTCTGCTTTATTCTTTGTTTTGCCTCTATAGATTGATCCAGGCCTTGTAATGCAAGCTGAATTCTATGGAATTTCGACAATAGTACAAGGAATTAGATCTCAAAATTGATCAACATATCAAAAATAAAAGAGGTGAACGCCTGCTGAGAAAGATAAAAGTGCTAGAAACATAGAAAATCAACATGGAGAGCAAAGAAGTGAAACTACTTTGTCTCATCCTCGATGAAGTCCTGACCATAGTCACTGTCAGCATCCTCATTATTGTCATCTACCTTGGTAGCAGTAGATGTAGCTGTGTCAGTAGCTGCATCCGTAGTGGTGGCAGTGGTAGTAACGGTAGCAGTCTTCGATATAGTATCTGACTTTTCTTCTACAGTTGTCTTTGATACTGTATCTGTCTTGCCGTCCTCCTCGACTGTCTCTGTGGCAGTGGTGACAGAGGTGACAGTGACGAGAGGCTTCGAGGTGAGACTCCAGTCAATGATACCGTCGTCCCCGTATCGAGTCTGTAGCCAGTCATTGGCCTTTTTAAAATGCCCGCACGTCAACTAGAAAGAGTCAGCTAAGGCCCAGAATGATGGACAAGAAGAACAAAAACATGCGTGGTATACGTACAAATCCCTTGTGGGCACTGAGAGGGCTTGGATGGACAGACTGTAGAACACAGTGTCTCTCCCTGTTGACTCCAGACACCCTCTTGCCTGCAGGGCTACCCCAGGCCAGGAAGACGACCCCCTTTGTGCGTACACGGGCGACAAGGTCAATGGCCCGCTGGGTGAAACGCTCCCAGCCACGCTGCGAATGGGAGTTTGCATTGTGAGCTCGGACGGTGAGACAGGTATTGAGCAGGAGTACCCCTTGCTGGGCCCATGGAGTGAGCAGCCCTCCGCGGTTGGCGGGCTCCTCGAAGGCCGGGTAGTCGTTCTTCAGGGCAAGGTAGATGTTCTTGAGCGAAGGGGGAGCTGGCGTCGGCGGGCGTACGGAGAAGCAGAGACCGTGAGCCTGGCCGTGGTTGTGGTACGGGTCCTGGCCTATGATGACCGCCTTGACCTTGTGCAGCGGCGTGTACCTCGACCTGTGCAAGCCCGCGAGTTAGCGTCTGTACGCCCTGCAGAAAGCGGAGAGTAAAGAGGCGGGCTGACCATGAGTAGATGTCCTGCTCGGGGGGGAAGATATTGGCACCAGACTTCTTCTCGTCACGCAGGAAACGCTTCAGCGCCAGGAACTCGCGCGAGAGCAGCTCGTCCGTCAGATGGGCCAGCCAGCTCTCGTCCAGCGTGTCTATCTCGAGCTTCAGCAGCTCCCGCTGCTCGGCTGTCAGGCTGCTCGTCCATTTGGCCTTGTCGAACGTGGCCCTTGGAGCTGCCGATGTAGCTGTGCCTGAGCCTGGCGACGACGCGAAGAACGCCGTGATCGTCGACTTGGGCTTCTTTGCCTCCTTCGACGTGATGCTCGCCGCCCTCTTCATCTCTTCTCTTCTTCTATTATCTCCTTCGTCTTCTTCTTCTTCTTCTCCTTCTTGTTCTTAGTTTTGTTCTTCGTCTTCTCGTCGTCTTCAACTCTTCCAGCTTCTGCCTGGCCTGGATATCTGCATGCTGACTCAGCAACCTAAAAACTGCAAAACCTTTTTTTGCTTCTTCCGCCAAGCTTTCCAACTTTCCGGCTTCTTCAACGCATCGCAACCTGCAGAACGAACTTCCAACGCCCGCACGACGACGCTCGCCGTTTCTTGCGTCTCTCCGTTGCCTTCGTTCCTTTTGCTCCCGCAGCGCCTCAGCCTGCCTCCTCGCGCGCCCGGGGCTGCTGTCTGGCGGTTGCCCTCTGCATCGGCTGCATCGGCTGCATCGGCTGCGGCTTATCGCTCGATCCCTCGTTATCCGTAACTAGTTATCGCCTCCGCTCGCTTACCCCCTACTAGTCGACGCTGGCCTATACGACCCCTGGATTAATTAACAATCAACAACCGGCGCTGGGGCTCAATTATGTCACAGCATGCCTTAATTAATCCTACTTGGGGCTTTGGTTAGAAACGACGACGTCCTGAAGAGAAAACAACACCTGTCGCGCCTTCGTGCGCAGCCGCGGCCGCCTGTCCGGACGGCTAGTTACATATAACTACGCACTGCACTGCAACTGCAACTGCACGCTACAATGGCTTCGTCCATAACCTCCACAACCACGACCGCTTCGGCTGCTGCGACAGAGCATTCGCCTACGTCGCCAGCCTCAGTTACGGCCTCTACTGCTGAATCAGAGGTCTACCGGCCTACACACCCCATTGCGCACCTCCAGGGCCCCTTCGAAGAGTCCATCCTCGAGTCCATCCACGGCTTCAACCAGCGCGTCCTCTCCCCGCCGGATGCAGTTACCCGGCGCAAGCAGCTTCTCCAGAGCCCTAAGTACCAGCGATCATGCTCCGGCAAATGGCAGCAGCGTGCCGGCGAGAGATACCATCCGCTCTGGAAGATCATGGCCCAGGTCTCCTTTGGCATTCACCTACTCGCCACCGGCTCGGCCAGGTCAGAACTCGAGTCCGTCCAGATCCTGCGAGTACACGTCGCCGAGATCGATGGCTTTGTACGCCGCACCATGGAGGACTACCAGCTCGCCCACGAGGATCTTACCGCGCGGTTCGATCTGCTCGCCGTGCCCCTGGCCAATCTGGACGTGCTCGACTCCATGCTCGGTGACGAGTCCTTCAAGCTCTTCCTCATTGACTGTATCAGCAAGATAAACCATGTCGTCCGCCGCTCGGAGATTGCCCTCCAGGACTCCCTCAAGGATCTCAGAAAGGCCGCCATCGCCGTGCGCACTGTCAAGGACTACCTGAATATCATTCCCCAGCACCAACACACATGGTCCCCATCCTTCGGGGGCGTCTACGCCGACATGTTCCAGCGCGTCGGCCTCTGGCTTACCAGTCTGTCGAATCTCCAGGCCCAGGGTGTCCGCTTGGTCGAGTTCCTCGTCAATCTCTCCTCTTCTATCTCCCGGCTACGACTCCGAATTGGCCTCAACCAGGCTGGCAGCACGGTTCGTTCACCTTTTTCCTCCTTTCCCTCCCTCCCCATTTCACTTACTTTCCCTTACTTATTCTAATTGGCCCCAACTATTATAGCGCTCTGTCACTCTTTCGCCGAATATGTTTCCTCCACCGCGGGCCGCGGTCTCCATGGACAACCTGCATGAGGCCCACCAGCGAGCCTCCTATGCTGACAAGCCTCTCCCGGACATACGGCAGAGAAACCGCTCAATCCTCTCTCTCAAGCGCTTTGGCGCAAAATTACAGCACCGATTCTCCTCCGTTAGCAACCAGCACCACTCTCCAACACCCTCCAAAACAAATCTCTCCACCACAGGCTCACCCAG